CCATATAAACCTTAATACAGCATTGCATATAAACCTTAGTACAGCATTGCATATAAACCTCAATACAACATTGCATTCACACCTTAATACAGCATTGCATACAAACCATAATACAGAATTGCATACACACCTTAATACAGCACTGTATACACACCTTAAAACAGTATTGCATAAACACCTTAATACAGCATTGCATAAAACCTTAATACAGCATTCCATATAAACCTTAATACAGCATTGCATACAAACCTTAATACAGCATGCATATAAACCTTAATACAGCATCACATATAAACCTTAATACAGCATTGCATATAAACCTTAATACAGCATTGCATACACACCATCATACAGCATTGCATACACACCATAATACAGCATTGCATATACACCTTAATACAGCATTGCATATAAACTTTAATACAGTATTGCATATGAACCTTAATACAGCATTGAATATAAACCTTAAGAAGGCATTGCATTCATACCTTAATACAGCATTGCATATACACTTTAATACAGCATTGCATTCACACCTTAATACAGCATTGCATATAAACCTTAATACAGAATTGCATACACACCTTAATACAGAATTGCATACACACCTTAATACAGCATTGCATACACACCTTAATACAGTATTGCATACACACCTTAATACAGCATTGCATACACACCTTAATACAGCATTGCATACACACCTTAATAAAGCATTGAATATAAACCTTAATACAGTATTACATATTCATATTGAGACAGTATTGCATACACACCATAATACAGCATTGCATAAAACCTTAATACTGTTAACAGTATTGCATACGCACCTTAATACAGCATTGCATATAAACAGTAATACAGCATTGCATACACACCTTAATAAAGCATTGAATATAAACCTTAATACAGTATTACATATACATATTGAGAGAGTATTGCATAAACACCTTAATACAGCATTGCATAAAACCTTAATACAGCATTGCATATAAACCTTAAGACAGCATTGCATATACACCTTAATACAGCATTGCATATAAACCTTAATACAGCATTGCATATCAACCTTAATACAACATTGCATATACACCATAATAAAGCATTGCATATAAACCTTAATACAGCATTGCATATAAAACTTAATACAGCGTTGCATACACAACTTAATACAGTATTGCATATAAACCTTAATACAGAATTGCATACACACCTTAAAACACCATTGCATATAAACCTTAATACAGCGTTGCATACACAACATAATACAGCATTGCATATAAACTTTAATACAGCATTGGAAATAAACCTTAATACAGCATTGGAAATAAACCTTAATACAGCATTGGAAATAAACCTTAATAAGAGCATTGCATACACACCTTTATACAGCATTGCATATATACCTTAATACAGAATTGCATATAAACTTTCATACAGTATTGCATATAAACCTTAATACAGTATTGTATATAAACTTTAATACAGCAATGCATTAACACCTTAATACAGCATTGCATAAACACTTTAATACAGCATTGCATTCACACCGTAATACAGCATTGCATATAAACCTTAATACAGTATTCCATACACACCTTAATACAGCATTGCATATAAACAGTAATACAGCATTGCATACACACCTTAATAAAGCATTGAATATAAACCTTAATACAGTATTACATATACATATTGAGAGAGTATTGCATAAACACCTTAATACAGCATTGCATAAAACCTTAATACAGCATTGCATATAAACCTTAAGACAGCATTGCATATAAACCTTAATACAGCATTGCATATAAACCTTAATATAGCATTGCATATAAACTTTAATACAGCATTGCATATACATCTTAATATAGCATTCCATATAAACCTTAATACAGCATT